CATGTGCTAGTTTTATACAAATTGTATCCCTACTATCTTGCACAGTGGATCAAGACTGCAGGGTTGTACAAATCTTGGTGTCACCTTCCATGTGGTTGCAATAGGATCTGTGCAACAGGAGCCCTGCATGGGTGTTCAATCAAGATATTTTAAAGGAAAGAACAAAATCCTGATAGTTTTGGCTGGTGTTGTGAACTGAGTTTAAACCTCAGGCTGAGCTGGCCTGAGAAGCACGTGGTTTGGAGCTATCATCCTGGTGGAAGATGGCAGATTAGAGAAGGACAGTGGACCCAGGAAGTCCAGTCACCAATTTAATTCTGGAGAAATCCTGCAAGTAATTGGAGATGAAATCTCATCACCACGTACATAGTCAGTGGGGCAGAATCAGCACAGAGATGAAGGGTAACACCATGAGAATTGGTCATTGGTGGCATCTGACTAGAACACGTCCCATTACCCAACCTAAGACCAACCGTTAATTCTAGGCAAAATGAAAATTAATTACCAAAGAGCAGCTAAACCTGATTAATTTGTAAGTTGGCATAAAATCAATACAAAGAACTTGAGAACTAGTTTGCATAAATATTAAACAAGAGAATCTGGAATAGATGTTGTTCTCCTCGGAAGAATGTGAGGCCTTGAAAAAAGACACTGCTGAGGCAAAGGTTAGTGGAAGTGATAGCCTGAGTCACTGTTCGAAGAGGCCATGAAAACTTGCATTAGCCGAAGAAACATGGGTTCATGACCTGCTCATTCTACGTATTGGTGGCAGAAGGAATGTCCCAACCCATTGAATGGCCTACTTATGTCTGTTATTGTTAACTACTATCTAGTCAGCCTCTAGTTCATGGTGTGTCCACGTACAACCAAATGAAATGTTTCCCAGTTCTGCACCATCATCAGGATTGGTTGGGTTATGGATTGAACCACTGTGATCCATATGATTTTCACTGGCTGATTTTTGGAAGTAGATCACCAGGGCTTTCCTCCAGGTGCGTGGCTGGGAATCGAACCTGGGTCTTCTACATGGAAGGCAGAAATTCTACCACTGTACCACCAATGCCTACTGCTTGTCTAGTGACCCTCAAAAGCACCTTAAGAGGGACTTGGGAAAGGACCCAGCAAACCTGATAAAAGCAAGATTTGAAGGCAATAAAGAGTTATACTCACAATAGAATCCATGTTCATACAGATCCTTTTGTTACATTGACAGATGCCCATGCAGGGCATAGGAAGTGCACAGTTTTGATTATAAGTGCATCACTAAATTAACCGAATCTTGCATGTGGAGGTCAGACAGCTGTGTGAAGCAGGATCCTTCAGTGGCTTCTATTGGTTCAATTAGACCATTGGATTCAGACCTTCCTGGCTACTTTCCCATCCTGTGGGCTGTGGCCATTCTTAATTTTGGGAGACTTCTTCTGGATTCCAAATCATTTCTAGATTCTAGAATCACTTGTAATGCTAAACACCATGTTCTGGGCCCATGATAGTTATATGCCTATGCTATGCCTGGACCTATGGTTTCCAAGATAAAAGGTCTTAAAGCTCAGGTAACACTTTAAGCCTATAGCCATGATAATATCTATCTGACTCTGCAGTTCTTTGAAATATTTTTACTACCCAAGTCATACAAATGATTTTTTGCAAGTACAGAAGTCCATCAGTCATCACTTGCTCTTGGACATAGTAAGCTGAAGTGTACATATTTTTGTAGCTTGGATGTTGACTTCATCTGAAGGGACACTCCTGAAACAAATATTCTTAAATGTAAGTTCATAAAGGTAAGAATGCCATTTAAATCATTTTCAAAAAACTTGTCTGTGGTTGGTATAGTTTTGCCCTTTTATTGTCTACTGATGCCTTACTGTACGGGGGTAAGGGTGTTCAATGGTAGAATTCTCACCTTCCATGAAGAAGATCAGTTTGATTCTCAGCCAATGTACCTCATGCACCTCAGGAACAGCCACCACTCGTCTGTCAGTGGAGGCTTACGTGTTGCCGTGATGCTGAGCATGTTCAGTGAAGCTTCTAGACTAAGAAGGACGAGGAAGAAAGGCCTGTTGATCTACTTTCAAAATATTAGCCAGTGGATCACAACAGTCAGCTCCAGTCCCATGAGTCAAGGGCTGAGTCTGTGGCAACTAACATCAATGCCTTACTGAACACAGAGTACCATATTTTTATGCAAACATCACAGTTTTTGCAAATGGTGCAGCCCCCTCCCATTAATTCCCTATGGACTTTATGTGTGTTATGTGTGTGTTACTAATGTGGGCAATTGAGGTCTGGAATTGACTCACTCGCTTGGCTTCTGGTCAAACAATAAAACAATAGACAGGTATATAGGAAGGGCAGTGCTTGTATAGGGAAATAGCCCGGGATGGGGGCAGGCAGGAATGCACAGGCAAGAAAGACAAAGGGAAGAGGTAACCACAGGGAAGAAGTGGGAAGAGAGCTTACATTGTGGGGAATTGCAGTCAATGTCATGAAACAAAATGTGAATGAACAGCTGTATGGAAAATAAATTTGCTCTGTAAACTTTTACCCAAATCACAACAACAACAACAAAAATACAGTAAGCTGGCTGTGTGTGCCTGGGAGAACTCATTTGATGGCTTTGGCCTCAGTCTACATATTTACAAAATCAGTATATATGATGGCCAGAATATCTTGCAGATCTAAAAGGCCATGATTTTGCATCTCATATGAAGGCCATAAATGCCTTAGTGTACAGATTTTTTTTTATTATTTTTTATTAATATGAACAGAAAGTCATAAAAAACTTCCGTGATATATGAAAAAATAGGGTGAGTTACTTCATGTAAACTGATTTCTTACAAAATAATAATTATTGTCCCAGGTGAAGAAAATAATTTAATCTTAATTCATTTTAGGGGCTGTTTTGGTTCAATTCATTAAAAAAAATTCTATTTACTAAATTTTCTATCAAGGTTTTATTTTAGGAATAGTGAAATTGATTGCAGGTAGAGGATCGCTATGTGTTAGTGAAACCCAGCCCTCTTCTTTCATCTTTCACCTGCATGTTTCCAGTGTTTCCCATCTCTGAACTTCGTTGTCTGAACCATCTCTGTTCCTTTCACTCTGTCTGGAGACAATAATCGCAGATAGATAGTTTTTCCTCCACAGGTCAGAGAGCTATTTCTTGATCTTTCTCAGATGCTGTGTCATGGGGGTGCCTACATTCATCTCTAGGGGAGCTGTTTTGGCTGAAACTTTTGCATTGCATTTCCATGTCCTTCGGTGTGTGTTTGCCAGATATTCTGCCTGCCTTCTGGTGAAGGCCTTTCCAGACTGGGCAGCTGAATGCACTGTAGCTAAAATTCTAATTCAAGATCTAGAATTCTAACTTCTCTTTAGACCTTTGTCTGGCCCTGGCCCCAGTCTCCTGCCTGCAGGTTCCTGACTAATTATCAGGCCCACCCAGGCCCTACACTCACTATCAACTGGGCCCAGGAAACCATTCTTAACACCAAACTGAACTTGAACAACACAACTACCCTAGCCCCACCCAACCCAACTCTCCTCCCAGCATAAGTCAGTTACCTTGTGAGCTGGGAGACAGAATAGTTGGGTGTGAAGAAGAAATGCCATAGGTGGGGGGAATTACCCCCAATCACTGTGGTTGTCAGATTGTAAAACGTTTTTCAGCAACAGAAATACCTGTGCGTTTAAAAACTCAAATGAAAAGCCTTAACAATTCCATTATTAGAAATAACACTAGAGGTGAATATAGTTTATGGAGGGGGTTAATGAAATTTGCCCTAAGGAAAATGCTAAAGTTAACCATACTTGCATTAATTAAAAAAAAAAAAAAAAATGCACTGTTGGATCATAAGGAGCTGATAAAATGTAATGTTCTTAGGTACCGGGGAAAATGCTGTTGGAGAGCACACACTTCACAGGTAAAAATGTGAGAATAATTGAGACTGGGGTGGGGGTGGGAACAAGGAAGTGATTCTTAGTAAAATGCTGGTTTTCAGGAAAGCTACCAAATAAAATTTAGGTGTGTAACTAGTCTACATTATGATTTAAATGCTCACAGGATAGTGCAATCTTCATTGACGAAAAGAATCTCTTCTCTTTTAAATGAAGAGTAAGTAGGTTCCTTGACCCTGCTTTTACTCCTTCTAGGCTTAACCAAGTCATTGTCATGGGGTAGTGAAGTGGTGTAGTTTGAGGTAATTAAATTATTTTAGTTTTTATTTTCCCAGAAGGGGCAGGGAATACAAACGTGGTACATGTGTAAAACACAAGCAAATGCACTTGATAACCAAGTACTCTATTTTAAGATTTAAATAAAGCTAAGATTTTCTTCTGGCCTAGAGGGAAACTTCATTAAAATCAATTAGTCAGTACAAATCTCAGGAGAACATGGACTTTTTCTTTTTTTAAAGAAGGTTTAAAGAGTAAGGTGCACACAATTACCTTTCCTGGGTCCCCTGTGAATGTCAGTGCCATACCTAACGGGGTGGCCAAGTGGAAACAAATATCCCCCGAGAGGGACCCCGGGAAAGTCCCTGAATTCTCATCGCCGGAATGCATATGTAATTAATAGACGTGTATATATTAAGAATACAATATAGACAACCAAGGAGGCTCCAAATAAATTGCATGCATTGCAGACTGTGAAGGGCAGGCCGAGCGAGATAAAGTTGGTGACAGGCGCTCCCAGGTGAGGCCTTGGTCCGGGGAGCAGAGGTTGGGGCAGCACAGCTGTTGCCTCCAGCCCTGGTCCCTCCTCCCAGCTGCGGCGGCCTCCCCCCTCCCCCCGCCGGTCTCTCCTCTAGCTCCTTCCATCGCTCTCGCCCCTTCTCCCTCCGTCCCGTCCTCTCCGCTCCCCTCACCCCGCCTCTCTCCCCCTCCCCCAGCCCCTCCTCTCCTCACCCCACCCTGCCTCCCTCCCTCCCTCTCCCTCTGCCCGCCCGTCCGCCCGGCGCTCGCAGAGCCGACACCAGGGGGGCTCTCGATGTTGCACCATGACAGGCATCGCCGCCGCCTCCTTCTTCTCCAATACCTGCCGATTCGGGGGCTGCGGACTCCACTTCCCCACCCTGGCCGACCTCATCGAGCACATCGAGGACAACCACATCGGTAAATGGCCTGGGGGTGGGCGGGGGTGCAAGGCGCGCAGAAACTCCTGCCCAGGCGAGAAGCCCCAGAATGGCCAAGGGTGGCGGGGAGTAAGGCAGGCGGCGGCGGGGCGGGGAGGGTGTGTGCGAGCCCAGGGGTTGGGGGTGGCTGGATGCGGAGGCGCACAGTGCGGAGGGTAGGGCGTGGGTGGGGGAGGGGGCGCCCCGGGGTGCCGCAGGCAGGCGACCTGAGGGATTCCGAGGGGCGTGCGCTCGGGTTGCGAAGTGGGGGAGTGGGGGTGCTCCAGGGCGGGAGGAGGGACCGGCGGCGGGGAGATGCGGTGGCGGGTCCGGCGCCGGGGGAGGGGGAGCCGGGCGGAGGGCGCGGCGGAACCGGGCGGCCGGCTCGGGGTAGGGGCGCGGAGTTAGTTGGCCCGGGTGGTCGTTACGGCCCAAGGCGCCGGGGGTGGTGGGGGCAGGCTCTGCACGCCGCCTGCTGCTTCCGCCCCGGCTCGAGCTGTCAGGGCTCGGCGGCTGCTGCAGCCGCGGGGAGGGGGGGAGGGGGGGGCGGGGGGGGCTCCACCGCGGCAGCCATTCCGCTTCCTCCTCCCGCCGCCGCCGCCACTGCGTCCTGTCAGCGCCGGTTGCTAGGTGTGGTGTGTCGGGAGGGGGCCGGAGCCGGCGGCCGCGCGCGAAGGATGAGGCGCTCGCCCTTTCCCCCGGCGGCGGCAGAGCACGCTGGGCCAGGGACGCGGAGCCTGGGGCCCTCGGCGCCTGCTCCCTGCCCCGGCCTGGGCGGACGCCGCGGAGCTGCGGGCTAAGGTCTGGGTGCGCTGCGGGCCGCGCCCAGCACCCCGGGGCCGCGCTGCCTCGGAGGCCCTTGTGGCTGCCACTGCTGGAGAGAAATCCCCCGGGGCCAAGGGCCCGGCATTTAAATGCGTCCTGGCTCTTCGATTTGCCTTTCAAATGGTGCTAGGCCTGAGGTGCGCCGGCTGCGCCCAGGGATCGTCTGCGGCGGCCTGCGCAGCGCCCCAGGCGCGGAGGACGCGGGGGAGGGGACGCCCCGTGGGGCGGGTGGTTTCCCTTCACGCCCAGAACCCCGCGATCTTTCAACAACTCCTATAATTCGCAGAAGTCCTTAGACACATTCACACACGCCCATCCAAAGCCCCTGCGATGCGAGATGGGTCAGGATCTTTTGGCCCAGTTGATCTCCAGCCACCTGCGGAAGGTGTGGCTGGCGGCCGCAAGTTATCCTGCGTGGGCTGGAAGGCGAAGGAACGCGCGATACCCCATCGCGACTGTCTAAAGGAGAAAACCAGTAAACTGCCCCAAAAAGACTTTTCCAAATGAATGCTATGGATTCACTCGTGTGGATGCTGCTCACGTTTCTACAAAGTTGGGAGAATAAATCACGACTGCTGTGTATTTAGGCACGAATAAAATGAAGCAGACCATTATGCTCCTTTGCTTAGTATAATGCTTTCTTTTTGTATATGGTGGGTGCTTGATAAGCACTGAATGCTAGTTTAGAGTGCGACTTAGTGGACTTTCGGAATGGGAAATAAAAAAGGAGAATATCTGCAAAATGTTTTCAAAAGATAATCCTGTAATTGTCCAGGTTTTGAAACTTTCAAAGTTTTAAAACATCCGGCCCCTCTGATAAAGGTGCCACAGAAAAGCTGGGTGAGTTTTGGTAGACTTAACAGCAGGAGTTTAATGGAATAACAAATTTGCTGATTCATATCATGATTGAATAGTCATACTGAAAGTGCTTGAAAGGATAAGTCAGGGTTTTGTGATACCTAGTTTAAAATAATGCTAAAACTCTGGTACTGCAAATTTCAGTAGAAATTTTGTTCAAGTTCTTTTCTCTACTCCTCATCAGCCAATAATAAATTAAAAATAATCAATATTTCCTCACCCAGGGAAGGCTGTCATTACATAGGTCATTCATTCTCCGTAACAGTTATTTCGGAACAAACTGCAGTTTATGTAAGGTAGTAATGTTAGCCTATTGGCTGCCCACCTGGCTCTAGTTAGTTAAAAGAAAATTTAAATTACATTATTAAAATATATTAAAGACAGTTATCCTTCTTAGGCATTTAAGTATTGGACAATTCAAAACCTACTGTTGGGGAATCACAAGAATCTTGTTTCTTTTAGCATAAATTGTCTTTACTATTACACAAACACATGTCTTAAAATGGCTCCATAAATTTTCTAAAACTGAGCTTTCAAGTCACTCCTGAAAGGCTCGTAGTGTTTCAATAGTTACGTGGAAAAATCAAGATTATACCAATAACTGTAACAATACTGTGTGGCATGGGTAGCAATTGCCAAAAACCAAAAATTGCTGTACTTTGGAAAGCAGTGTGAAACTGGCAAACTTTACATAAAGCAAATGTTAAAATGAGCAAACACTTGACCTTATCAGGCTGAAGAGGCCAACATAAACTTCTGTACCTCGGGCCAGGAAAGATCCCTTCCCTTCAAAGGCAGCCTCATATGCAAAAAGGAGTAAGACTGCATCTCAAGAAAAAGAAAAACAATTTGATCATTGTAGTTTAAATGTAGGTAGAGTTCTGATTAACAGACTTTAGTGAATATATCAGACAAAGCGTGTAGTGAAAGTTCTATGTATGGATTGTTATGTAATATTTACTGTTTGTGGTTTGGTAAATTTTTGGAGACAATTTGATGGTTGCTTTTCATGGTTGATTTACTGATTGCGGAATTTTAAGGAGTGGCCACATTAAGAAGGTGCAGGAAAAGACTAGTAAGAGAAAATGTTGTTCTGCCTTTAACTTACTCAAAACCAGTACCCTTGGTTTGAATCTAATTGATGGTAAACACATGTCTGTCAGAGTAAAACTGTGATCCATAGGGTTTTCAATGGCTGATTTTTCAAAAGATAGCCAGACCTTTCTTCTGAGGCACCTCTGGATGGACACAAACCTCCAGCCTTTCCATTAGCAGCTGTTTGCATTAACTGTTTTCACAACCTGGGGACTCCTAATTTATTCAAGGATTTAGCAATCGTAAGTGTTAGAGATATACTAAGGTGAGAGTTCCATCTTGGAGTCCTTTCTGGTTATTGCCATTTAACCACTAGTCACAAATCTTTAAAAAAATTAAAAAATAAACTGCCATCGAGTTAACTCTGACTCATAGGGACCTACAGGGTTTCCAAGGCTATAAATCTTTATGGAATTAGACTGCCTCATCTTCCTCCCACTGAGCAGCTGGTGGGTTTGAACTGCCAACCTTCTGGTTAACAGCCAAATGCCTTAACAGCTGTGCCACCAGGCACCCTTATCAAAATCCTTGAGCAGTAATAAAATGAAAGTTTGTGGGAATAGAGCATATTTCTTACATGAAAGATTTTTCAGGGCCTGTAGTTAACTATGTTAATAATAATTACATTAAGTTGAAGGTAGCTGGTTCTAGTAGTGTAGTGGCTAAGGCACTTGACTGATTACCAGAAGGCTGGTGGTTCAAACCCACCAGCCACTCCTCAGAAGGAAGATGGGGCAATCTACTTCCGTAGTGATACCGCCTCGGAAACCCAAGGAGGGGTCACTATGAGTTGGGTCCGACGCGACGGCACGCAACAACAACACATACATGTACACTTAGCTCTTGTTTTTAACCATTTTCCTTTTCCATAAGAAACAAGGATTTGAGGCTTTGTTGTTGTTGTTATGTGCCCTCGAGTCTGACCCGACTCATAGTATCACTACGGAAGTAGATTGCCCTATCTTCCTTCCGAGGAGTGGCTGGTGGGTTTGAACCACCAGCCTTCTAGCAGTCAAGTGCCTTAGCCACTATGCTACCAGAGCTCAAAGAAAGTGTGATTCCACCGTCCTCTGTTTCAGCTGTTTTCCTTCCTCCTGGAAGAGTGCTTTATCTGTTTTCCCTTCCTTCGCATGTCACTGCTGGCCCAGAGTTGGAGCGAGCATCTATCTCCATGTACAGCTTGAGTATCCCTCACAGAAATCCCACAGCCCTAGAACTGTGAAGTGATTCTCTGTCAATTTACTCATAGTCCTGAATTTGTTTCTTGGAGACAGGAAAAGCTGATCAGGATTTGTTTGCTGTTTAGAGTGAGTAAATACTTAAAGTTGTAGGAACACACTTGACATGTGCATCCTAGATTAAACTGGTAACCAGGAATCATAGGAACACCAAGAGCACTAAATTTAGCCCTGAAGGTCGTGTCATAAACTCAAAATGCCTGCTCTATGTGTCCTAGTAGTATGATATCATTTGGCATTTGGTTTCAAAAAGACAACGTGTTCAATCATTGTTACCTGATTTAATTATATAAAGGCACATTTGTAACAGACTTCTGCATTTTGAATCTATTTAATAATATGTATTGAGCACCTGCTTTGTGTCAAGCACAGAGCTAGGCACTTGGTATTTATTGGTGAACAAAACAACAAAGATAGCAACGTTTGGGATGGCCACATTCTAGTAGAGGGAGACAGACGGTAAACAATAAGCTTAAAACCAAACCAAACTCACTGCCGTCTAGTTGGATCCGACTCATAGCGACCCCTCCTTGGGTTTCTGAGGCAGTATCACTATGGAAGTAGATTGCCTAACCTCCCTTCTGAGGAGTGGCTGGTGGGTTTGAACTGCCAGCCTTCTGGTTAGCAGTCAAGTGCTTTAGGCACTATGCCACCAGATCTCCTACAATAAGCTTAAGAAGTTAATTAATTTAGTATGTTGGAAAATGGTTACTGCTATGGAAAAGTGAAAAGCAGAGCAAGGTAAAAGAGTTTGGGAGGAAAGAATGTTGGAATTATCAATAGATTGGTCAGGATAGGCTTCACTGAGAAGCTGATGTTCCTGTCTAGGAATCTGACCCAATTCAGTTATTCTTGCCATTCTTGTGATGGTGCTGAACTAGCAGGTCATTTAGAACTTTCCCCAGATGTAGCCACAGCTTTGCTAATGTTGATTCAGATTTTCCTCCAGGGGCCTCTTTATGGCTTGCAGTAGCTATGACTTGAT